TTTCGTGCAAACAATGGACTGTCTATTAGGAACATCTTCGTGCATCGAAGCGGGCTTCAGTATATCAGCTGCAAGGAAGCTTGTGCATAGAAGTGGACGATCCATTTGATAAATCTATCGTCTGACTTACCACCCCCTATAATAGATGTTCGAGTTAAAAGAGGAGAAGAGTTGCCAAGCGATCATCACTTCATTCACCGTTCATCACAATACGTTACGCTGTGAGAAACGGATTACCATGCGAAGACCTGTGGCAGAAGCAAAGAATCGAATGAAAAACGTCTTCAGTGGATTGAGGGGCAAAATTTGCAAGCAACATTGCATGACGGTTTGAACAATTCCGATGATGATCGCTGATTTAGAAACCGAGTGGGAGCCCTTTAACAGCGACCTACTCGGACCGCCAAATGTTGCGGAGTGAAACTGGTTGGTCTTGTTTTGCTGGCATGTTCTGAATCTGATCTACAGTACTCTCTGGCAAAATTCACAACCGAGTCCAACGTGGCCGGCATGCATGTGAACGTGTCTAAAGTGAAAGGCCTAGTGCTTTCTCGTTTTCCAGCCCGTTGCTCGCTCATGATTAACATAGAAGCACTGGTGTAGGTGGAGAAGTTGAAGTATTTACTAGTGATGGAAAATTTGAGGAAGAGATCGACCGGAGGTGGTGTTCTGCATGAACTAGCCCGAACCATTGGGAATTAAGCAGAGCTGAGTTTGGAGACTAAATTCCGAGTGTTCAAGTCGATCTTCATCCCCATGCTTTCTTACGGCCATGAGTCGTGTACCATCACTGAAAAACTTCGATCTCGGATACAAGGGGCTGGAATGGTCTTTCTGAGACGAGTTGCTGGTCTTACGCGTCTCGACTGGTCCCGAGTACACACATCTGGGAGAGCCTTAGTGTACAGCCGCTGTTTCTTCAGATGAGAAAAGAAGTCACAGTTGCGATGTTTTGGGAACGTGTTGCGAGTGCCTTCAGAAGGGAACGCGAAGCAGCTATTTCTTACCCATCCGACCGGCAGAATATTCGCGGGACGATGATTAACCCAGTGCAATTGTATTGAAAGAGGAGTTTTCTCTAGACTCCGGTTGTCTTCTGCTGAAGCTGAGACTCTGGCACAGGATCAGGAATGTTGAAAGCACTGTATGACCAGTCTGCCTCTGCGACCTGAAAGGAGCAGTGGTCATGAAGGATGAATATGAAAGAGCACTTTTGAAGATTGAAAATATTCTTATCCGAGAAACTGTCCATGTGCTTTTAGTGTTTGTCCCCAATGCTTAAGTATTTGTAAAAAATATCTTCCTTAAGTTTGAAAGTTGTTCATGGCCTGTAAAATATGCAACGCAGCATGAAAATTCTATGCTGAGAATGATAGTTAGGCCAGATCAGAATCAAGAGTGCAGTGTCATTGCTCGAATGAAGAAGTTAACGTAGTAATGGGCAGGAGACGTTTTGCAAGAGGAACCGTCCATCGCTTGAACAGAGAGAAATTACACTAGATTTAACGAGAGAGTAAACGGCCCATGGGAAGACTTTCATGAAGAGGCCTTTATTCAACAATGAATTGACAAAGACTGATGATTATGATAATTTCAGTAAACCATTTTTTACGCAGCATTGTCATCAACGTGTCGCTTCAGCTGTTAATTTGCTAATCACATTTGTCTAGAACACTGTTTCTCTCGTTTTCTGTTTCTTGAACCATTACTCCTTACATGGTTCACCAGCACATCGCAGGATGGTTTCTTCCACTGAGGATATGTTAATAGCCATTTTTTCTCCACACCAGGTTACATTATCTGGTTTTGTTATAATGTCCAGCATGGATTTTTACGTAATTTTTTTACAGACGAAGAGCTTACTTTAGTTCTGAGCAAATTTTGGCAACAGCTGCAATAGTTCTAGCTGCTGATGTAGTTTTTGTTCTAGCTATTGATCTAGTTTTTGTTAGGTTGTATTTCCTAAATCATAGGAGGTGCAAAACAGCTGCCGATTACGTTGTATTTAAATTTATGGAAAATATGCATGTTTTGGAACGTGGTTTCTCTTTTCGCAATACTAAAATCTGTAACAATAATGGCTGACAGGTGGATCAAGGCTAATTTTAGCCGCTAACAGAACAAACCGAAAGGTGTATGCGCATTTTGCCATTCTCGTTGTTTTACTGCACTTTTCATGTTGTCCGAACTGTTAGCATATTTGTTGTAAGTTGTTGCAAGGATAATTTAATCACTGGCTTGCAAAAATTATTTGCCTGACATTTGCGTGAAGCCTACTAATGGAAAGAGACACTGACGAAGTTTGTAAGTAATTTTTCTTTGGACGTTAGAAATTGCATGTTTGAATCTATGCACGGCAGCAACTTTTTTAGTAGCAACTAATTACCCTCAAAAAGGGATTTACCCTGTTGTGCTTCCAGCCCGCAGAGTAAAGGGTAGCCGGTCGTTGACCTGAGAATATGAGCAACTTGGCGTGGTCTTGTCATAGTATGCGAGACGGTCCTCTTGTCTGATGCAATTCACTTCGACTCAGCTGAGAAATTGTCTAAAAATCATCGCAAGGCATAAATTGAACTTTATTTTACTAGGCACCCTTTAAAACCGTGCTTGCATAAGTAAATCTTGTGATGATCAGCTTCGGTGGATTATAATGCTTGAACTGTTTAGGAAATCGATGGCAGTGCTTTGTTTCTTTTGTCCAATGATATGATGATCAAATATTTGAACGTTCGTCTCGGTCCAGCTGTGAAAATAGCAGGTGCCATTGAAAAAATGAAGATGAATCGCAAAGTGGTTAATCTGTACGCATAAGCTTTTTTCTGTAGCTCATTACCGGACAAAGAACAATAAACAAATAGTTAAAACAATATTCCAACCAGAAATTAGACTCAGGTTGTTGTCTGTAGAGCGTGAGATTGAAGAATCGAAGGGCTTAGGGTTGTAGTTCCGGTGGGTCACTCGCCTTTCCACGTTTCTGTGAGAAGGAAACAGGACATCATGCACTACGTTTGCCACATAGCTACTAGCGACTCTGCCTTTAAACTAAGACTATCCTGGGTGATGGCATAAAAATGGAGATAAGTGCCCTACCATTAATTCATAAACAGAAAAGCGACCCAAGTTGTCCCTAAATATGAAAGTATAAGGTTAAAGAACACAGACATTCCAACCGTTACATTTCCTTTAAACCATAAAATAATGACTTTACCGCAGAGCTTTCAAAATCATGGTAGAAGTTTTGAAGAAGGTCATTGAAGAACGCCGCGCCAGGGTTTTGGAAGCTCCGTGATATTTTGGAAAGTTTCATTATTTTTGAGCGTAACTGTCGTTGAAACTATTTGTTTTTAAGGGATTTGTCGGTATTTAAATGCTCATAAGTTTTCATATTCGTTTTCATGATAATGAAGTATTTTTTCTTTTAGGGTTAATGGTAAGAGTGTAAAACCTTGAACAGCCCGACACCTTATCTGGGGTCAGATGTTATACGGCTAAATGCCTATCGCTGCCATCACTTACTACCTTCATCTACCGCATCACTGCTACTGGTCGGGTTTAAGGAAATTATGGGGCATGTACTTGTTGTATTCATTAAATTTGTAACTATAACGATTTGTTTTTCACGTTGCAAAGTACGTATAACAGTCGCATGGCTCGAAACACACGACTAAAACTTCTAAAAGGTAAGACGATTTTTTACAGAAAAATTGGCAAAGGTAAAGTGACAGTAACGTAAAACCAACATAAACGTATCGTGTTCAACGGACAATAAAAGCATAAAAAGCAATGCCAGTATTAAATTGGGCTACAATGCGAAAACTCAATATAAAACTGGTAGCATACAAAATTAATGCCGCATAACAACGGTGTTTATTGTGAAGTGAATAGATTAAAATGATTTACAATTGAACGTAGTCATGGTGCTTCAGCTGACGCCAGCAGGGGGTTTCGGCCACTCACGGTATAAGTCTGAACGAGCGATACCCACCCGATCAACCCAGTCAGGAATGGTGCGGCTGGAGACCGGATATGAACAGAGTCCAAGGGGAAGAGGAGGAACAGGCGATTTCGGCTTGTGATTTACCACGGGGTTGGCCAGGCAATGAGTCTGATTGTTACATGGAGGCACAGCTTGATGAGGTATGCCAGCAATTATGAAATCTCCGTTCGGAGGAAAGCCAGCAACAGCTTGAAGGGCTTTTGCAGTATTGCATGTGCCTGACGTTCCCGGAAAAGCACTGTTATCAGCCACTGGCTGGTGATGCGAAACTTTGTTTGCCTGGTTTTGACCGCGTTGTTTAGATTCTTCTTTGAGGGCTCGCTGTAAAAAGATACAGGATTAAAGGATTCGTCAATACGTATACACGTAGCCACGAAATTTTTATAAAAGTTTTTAACACCATAAAGCAGAAAGTTTTAACATCTCTGAACGTTTTGAAAAACCTTTCACTCTCCTACAGCACGGCCTCTGTGTCTAATCACTTCATCCTTTGTTAACACACCATATACTTTGCTTTCTATGGTTTTAAAAACGTTCCAAAATTTTTATGAAAATCAGTAAGAAACAATTCATTAAATAGAAACAACACATTGATGAATAAGAACTTGGTGTACTTTGTGTCCCTTTAGCTGCTGTGAGCTTGTTAAATTGCTTTGTCGTCCGCAAACTCAGAGAAAATGAACATTTTACTCTAATCGGCGATTTAAATAAGCTTGTGTTGCGAAATGACTTCGAATAAGAATACTGGCTACGAATAAGAATACTGAAAAATAATACACTTGCTTTATACATACTATAAAATATTTCCAGTATCTATAAGAAATTGACAATTACAGAAATGAATGTGATATTATTCAGCAATCAGGAATCATCAGAAACATTAATCTTAGTCACAGAATGGCACGCAACAGCAAATATTTTATAGGGAGCTTCTGAACGTTTCGAACTGCACTGGATTCGTCTTCAGAAGATGGGTAATACCACAAATATATTTAAAAAAGGTGGAACCAAAGGAAACGGTCCATTTTTCTACCTGATTCAGGTAGCAGCTTCCACAGACTGACCACTGATATTCACTAAGAACCCATTGTTAGTTTACAAGGCTGTTTACAATACTAATTTTAGCTAGTAACTAAAGCCTGCAGAAGGAACAGTTCATGTCAGAAAATAAACTTAAACTCTGAGACGCCACTGTTTGACTGTAATTCTAAGCTCTGATCAGCCGTTCAGGGTTAAAACATGAAAAAAATTTCCAAATAATTTGTCAGTGAATTAATAAAGCCGATGAGTGCAAATCCATTTATGCTAGGTTTTCGTCATATACCAGTATAGATCACTACGTATAAAAAACGGCAACTTTTCTTATCACAGATATTTGTCTCGCTTACAGTTTGTGTTAGGCGTTTTCTGCAACACTCCGTGCTCTAATCTGCTTCTATCCATCAACCAGGAGTGAAACATTTCATAAGCATACAGCCAAGTGAACACCAAAGCATGCACCGCCTTGATATCACATTACGATGGTGTTCGTTCAATTACCTCACAAGTAAGAAAGGTGGCAACTCAACTGAAACTGAAATAAGTTATTCGTTTGACTACGAATCTGGCGATCTACTGACTGAGCTGCTGCGGCCCAGATGAACTTGGCGCCGGAGATGTGGGAGGGCAGGGATGAACTTGTGCGAAAATCTTACACGCATAATACGCTTTATATTTGCATAAATTTCTGTAGTTCTAAGAGCAATAAAATAATGTCCTAGGTAAATCTCTGATTTTTTTCGTGGTGCTGCTTGAAAAAAAGACAGAAAAATACGGTACCAACTTTTGTTATTTCTGAATATATCTGCAAAAAAACTTTGTAAGACGGGTAATGTTGCATGCAGTTAAAAAATTACAACTAGGTAAAAGTTCATTTGCACAGTGTAGCATTTACTGTAGATATATCATAAAAATATTACTCTCATCACATTTGCAGTTGTTGTTTATGTATGAAAAGTTAGTACTGAAAATAGACACATTATTTGGAGAAAACAGAACTTTGAGTATAACGTCGTCCAACAGACAATGAAATCACGAAGAAACAGGAAGGAAACCGTTATGGATACTAAACATCAAAGAATAATATGTCGAAGGAATAATGAGAATGCGATATTGCGACTTCTTTTGCATCCAACTTACCCACTGAGAGTGAAAGAAAGGAAAACGAGTAATCCATTGCACTTGTGGCAGAGTTGTAAATGTTGTTTTGTTGCCTAATGGAAGCCATAAAACACCGGTACACTCCAAAGAGGATAATTTTTATGCGAAGTACGACTGCCTGAAAAGGACTGACTGTGACAACTTAGCATAAGAAACATGACACCGTGTCTACCAAGTCAAATGTTTGATTCGAATGTAATGAGCGTCGCCATATACATGCAAAATGGTGTGCATTATGTGAATTTAGATTTGTATACGGATAAGCAATTACATCATGTACAGGCGGAGTAAGAACTGATTTCCCGTCGTTCAGTGTAGGCATAACTTTTCATCATACTTTTACTTTATCTGTCCTGATAAACTATCAAATAGATTTATAAAATGAATGAAGAAATATTTCAGGAGCATTTACGTTGAAGCTAGACGAACTTTAAGCTTTCTGTACACTGCTGTTCGTAAATTTAAGGACAATTGGAGTTCGCTAGACAAAATTCAGCGGTATAAAATACACAGAACGGGAAGCAGAAATGATGAGATGACGGCAAATGGAGAAAATCTAAAGAAACTTACGGCTTTGACCATGTTCCAATCGAAGACATAGTCATAGGTGAATCCCTGCCGGTGAAACAGATTTCGAAATAGCTGTCGTAAATAAATATAGTCCGGTTTTTCATCAAATCCAAGGAA